GTGACCAAATTCTTAAATAGTGAATAAGTTCTTACATGGTGAACAGTACAAGGGCAGTCATCACAGAAACTTTCGGTTTTGATCCTGAGTGCTCTTTTGCAGAGGAAAAAGGCCTGGTTGGGAGGGCTGTTCTAAGCAAAAAGTCTACTGGGGGAAGCTGGGAGGTCCATGTAGCGTGGTTCTCATTGGCTGAGCTGTGGCAGTCTCTCATTGGCTGGGCTCTTGCGGAGAGGCAGGAGAGCCTGTGAAAAATCTTCCCTGGTCCTGCGGGGTTATGAAGTAGCTAAAGCAATATGGGCTTGCAAGGTTTCCATCTCTTCCAGCCGGGTATGCGTTTGGGGAGGGAGGTGGGACCCGTGAACTTCCACCGCTGGCCTCCGTTGCCACGTCAGTGAGGTTTCCCTTTATGAATTCTCACAACATCTAGAAAGAAGGCTGTTTAATGAATGTGCAAATTCTAAATACTGAGCAGGATTAGGAAACCGCATTTCTTGCTCTTGGAATATTTGGCAAGGATCCGCTTTCCTCTCTGCATCTTCAGGCAATCGCCTCTGTTTTCCTCAAATTATTCAATTCAGCCTGATTCTTTTAAACAAACTCATATTTTTACAAACTACACAGGTGAGAACCACTGGTGATGATGGGGTGGAGTTGATTGGATCTTGAGGAATCAACTCTGCCCTTAAGGAGCCTGCAGTCTAGCGGCTCCCCTTCTTCCTAGCTATGTGACCTTGGGCAGATTACTTCACCTTTCTGTGCTTCTGTTTTCTGTAACACTGGTATAGCAATAGTACCTACCTTGTGGGGTTGTAATGGAGGCTAAATGAATTCAAAGTATAATGTACTTAAAAGTGTGTCTGGCACACAGAAAGCACTTAATAAATGTTACCTATTGTAAGTACTCAGTATTATAATTACCACAGTCATTATAGTCTGGCTGCTATCTAAGACCCTCCTCCCTACCCCATTCACTGAGCTCTGATGTTCCATGGTTCTCTGACAATAACATAATGAACGAGATGGACCCTGTCTGTGATAAAGGCTGTGTGCTGGCTGAAGTGGACCTGGAATTACAGAGGGCTTGATGCAAAATCTCAGGCTACTACTTCATTTTCTTCATTCTTTGTTCACAAGGGGCTAAATTCAGCTCTAAAGGGGTTCAAAATGGCGGTATTAGGTAGCTGATATGCGTTGCATTTCCTGCAGTGTTTCCAAATCAGGGTTTTCAAATCCTTAAATTGATTATCAATATACTTATCCTGAGAAATTATGTATTTGGAAATGCTGTTTTAGAGGTTCTGCCCTAGTGGTTTCTACAATGTTCTTTATTTTTAGCATCCTCATACCGTGGATTCACCTTAGGGATTAAATTGCATTCTAATAAGATTTTCTAATAAATTGCCAATTATGCTCCTGGGGAGGATCCAAGTGGGACCTATTTTTTTTTTTTTTTTTTTTTTTACTGAGGTCAGCTCTATTGTTTTAGAAGAATCAATTGCGTTATAGTTGTTTGAAAACCAAACCAAACCCCAAACCCCTTGCCACCAAGTATGTGAAACGCTGGCACTGAAAATGCAGGCAGCAGCTCTAAGTGATTGGATTATGGTTTCTGACTGTGCCCAGACCCCACACTGCTCCCAGCATGAGGAGCCGTAGTGCCAAGCACCCTCTCATCCTCTCCTGCAGGAGCCCGGCTCTCAACACAGTCCCGAAGGTTCAGCAATGGATGTGCTTGCCATTTCTGTTGAGAGGCAGAGGTTTGTAAATATTGTGAAAGTCCAGAATGAAAAGGTTAAACTAGTGCATTTTGGCTGGGTGAGGATTAATTAGGAGATGATTTGCAAAGACTATTATGTGTGTGCTAAATTTACTGACCCTTTCTCCCCCTGTATAGAATGAAGCTCTATGCGCTGTGCTCATTATCCTCAAATGTTTTTCTCTGTATCATCATCTCATTCATTTTATTTGGTAGTTTTAAAATGTACTAATTTGAACGGTAGGCTTCACTGATTCTTGGGAAAAGAACATTTAAGAGGCACAACTGTGCAGGCCTTAGGAGAACTCCTTATGATCTTTGGGGGGTTCTCTGGCACTAAGATTGGGTTCCTGGTTCAGGTTGGCAAGGATCCCATCAGATACCCATCCAGTGCTCTGGGAAGCAGGCATGTTTGAATGTCCTACAAAAAAGTTTTCAAACCAAAGTTTAGTACTGACTTGCTGTTTTGTGACTATTTAGGGACCATGGTCTATTTTGTTGATTAATTAGAATCATTTTTCATCTATTTATGTTTTCTTTGTCAGCCTTCGTACCAATTGTTGCTCTGTTGCAGTGCTGTCAGTCAACCCTAAAAAAAAAACCAGTTATTTTACTAGCAAAATGAGTTTATTTGGGAATAGCAGAGGTGCAGTTTGGGACAAGAACACTGTGGCGAAACATAGGCAAACCTTGAGAACAAAGGGGTGGGACTTGCTTTTACAGGGGAAAGGAGGAAATCAGGGAGGGTTGTTTTGAACAGAAGTTGATTGGAGAACAAGAGTTTGGGGTTGTGGTGGTTTCTCTTTGGCTGCAAGTGATGGTTAGTGCATTGTTCCTGGGGTAGGGAGGGCTCTACCTTCTTTTGCTTAAAAACAAGAGATAAAATTCCTATGTAAAAAATATCCTCCCTTGTCAAGAAAACTCTTATCTTCCTCCTTCCTGCTGGTTACACAGGCTGCAAGGAGTGTATGACAGAAGTGTACCCCCTGCCACATCTCCCCCCGCGCCCCCCCCGCCACCCCCTCACCACCTGAGGCCCCCTCCCACCACTTCAGGGCCTTCTGACTCCATCTTAAAGGAGGTTTCCTTATTTATTTTCACATGCTGCAAGGACAGGCTTGGGGGAGGGTTCAAGGTGAAGCCCTAGTGTTCTGGGAGGGCCTCACTCTGCTGTGTCTGAGCACCCTACAAAATGCAGAAGTTTCTCCTGCCTGAGAAACCCTCAGGTTGCCAAGCCGGCAGATGAGAGCAGAGGAGGATTCTGGTAAGGACAGGGAGCTTGAGCCAGAGGGGCAGGCTGGCTGGGCAGTTTGCTGATTCTAGCCTGAGGTGGCTGATGGGAGACATGAGTATGGAAGAAGAGGGCTCCTCTGCTTTCCAAGTGCTCTGGGTCCCAAGCAGTGGAGAGAGAGTCCAGGGCAGCGAACAGATGCTGATGGGGCAGTCGTAGGCCACAGCACAGTCGGCTCATTTCTCCCTGAGGTCTTCTGTTTATCCCTGGCTCCATTACTCATAGACTCTCTACTTCTTGGCCTTGTTCGTGTAATGGTTTGAAAAAGGAAGTTTTAACTGAAAGATGGAGGAAACAGAGCTCTGTTGGACATCTTTCTCCCATTTGGTTCTGGCTAGAAATTTTGGTAAAAAATATGAGACGGCAAGAGGTTATAGAAATAAGGAATCAAATGTGTGGTTTTATTTGGGTTTAATTGACTTCTGCTCCCTGTTATACTTTAAGCAAACCTTAATTTAAATACACAAATCTCGACTGTAAAAAGACATCATTTTAAGAATTCAAAAAATTGTGTATAAACCTTCGTCATACTTCAGAACAAAATCTCTTGGCTTGTTATAAATATGAATTAATTATCAAAGAAGGAATTTCCTGCAACTTTTCAAGAGCATGTGTAATTGTGGAAGTCAACTAGTTCAAGACAGTAAAGGGTGGGCTGCTCTGAGTGTTTGCCCAGCCTTTGGCACATTAATGTTAATCCGTAATGAGGATATTTTGACTCTTTGGGCTGCTCTGCATTGCTGCATTTTAAATTGGTACTTGCTACAGGCAAAGTTGAAGGTGAGGGGCAAGTCTCAGTATCAGCAGTAGCTAGATGAGCTTTAATGGGACTCAGAAAGATGGAGTTTCCAGGGCTTTGACATTTTATTCTCTTGTTATATAGCAGCTATAAAAAAGCCAGTAGCATTTTCCTGTCTTCCTTACTGATACACACCAGTAATAGGAGAAACGAGGGACCCAGTCTCATGCCTAATTTGGTAACTTAAATGGTAAAAGGAGCTATGAGATACTCAGAGCAATAGGGCTCATGTCAGCAGGTTCACCCAAGCAGAAGTGCCCTGCGGAGGTGATTGAAATGGGGAGATGTTTCATGTGAAGGTCCCTTTCCTGAAAAGTCCAGTGTGAACGATTACTGAAGACCATTTCTAAAGTTATTTCTATAATGTGCATTTGCTGAAAATGAAAGAAAATGAAAGATGCTAATGTTAGAATATTATGAAGTTGAATGTAGTACACATCAGGACATTTCACATTTAACTTAATGGGTCACCCAAGTGTTCACTGACCAGTTGCTTTCTTAAACTTGGAGACTAATGTTTTTTTCCTTATGCAGTGGTTTGCTCTGTACGTGGCTTTAAAAAAAATGTGGGATATTATAGCACTGAAAATATTACTGATGCAGATTTTATTCCCAGATGATTGAGTCTGTTTAGATATGTCATGCTCATAAAAGCTCATGTTTATTGAAGAGGGTTATTACATTTACTGCAGGATTTCATAAAGACCTTTTTAGGTGAAAAATACAGGTAGAATGGTTTGAGTGGGTGCTTTGTAAACCTTTTACAGGGCCAAAAAAAAAAGTTCTAAGTGCAAATGTCTTATGTGGAAAGTAAAAGTAATTTGTTTTTCTCATTAGGTGCCAGACCGTAGGCTAACCTGAAGACGACAGATTTTGAGATCTATGAAGTCAGAGTCAGCTTTCTTTAACAGAGGACTGCTAGTTGCTAACCTTCTGTATCAAAATGAGCCTTCATTACAAGGTTAGCTACAAACATATAAATGTCTACTTGGTTTGGGACAGTTCTATTTGAATCCTAGATATATTGTTGAGAGAATTGCAGTGCATTTAGTTTAATTCACACACACACACAGTTATAGAATCCAGTGTAATTAAAGATATTCATCACTATGTTCACTGAAACTGGTACAATAAGAGTATCTCACACTGTTTCTCTTCATTACTATGCAAGGCCAGAGCTTATATTTCTTGACTTGGAATGATGCCAGAGAGTCATTTCGGTATTTGAGCTTTATGCATTATTATTAATTGTGATGATGTTGACGTACCTTTCAATATTTGTGGTACTTCACAACAATTTTTATTAGCTGTTTCTCTTAACAGCTGAATCAGATCAAGGAAAATTATTTACTATTCTGTTGCAGGTGAAGAGCAGAGGCACAGGAAGATACATGACTTCTGGAGCACATGTGGATTGTTGGCAGAGCTGGTATGATAACTTAAAATCCTGTATTTTTACATTCTGACACTGACACTCTTCTCACAAATTCTCTGTTTTTGAGAATATATTTTCATATTAGAAGTTTAAGATGTATTTGGGAAGCTAAACAAATCCCATTGAGTGCACAGTGTTGGGTACATCATCGGTTTTCAGTATTAGCTAAGGAAATGTATAAATGTTGGATGTTGAAAACAAGGTTTTCAAAATAATGCTTTGTTTGTATAAAAGTAACATATTTTAAGTTAATTAATAGTAATTGAAGTAAGATACCCAGTTAGTGGATAACTTGGATATATTGTGCTTCAGAGTTAAGTGATAAATCACTGCAGGATAATAATGAGAGCATATGTCTCCAACAGCTTTTCAGAGAAGGTGTGATGTTCTATACATAAACTAGTGGACCAAAGAGGTGGTGAAGATTTATTTCTTATCTGTTGGCAGAAATAGATTTCTTTCCTTAGCCTAATAATAATGATGCATTAACAATGTTTATACAACAACCTCAGTTAAAATTATAAAACAAACGTACTATAATTAAAATGCGTACAAACCCCAAAGAGCCATCCCAGCCTGAATATTATCCCAGGAACCTAGCTGTTCCCTGCATATGGGGGAGATTTAACAATGCCAATGCCATATACCAGTGGCCACTGACAAGACAAGCACATGATCCCATCACTTAACCTGTACCCATCAGTGCCCTTGTATTTGGCTATCATACTGTTCTTGAAACGTCTGGATATGGTGTCTTGATAAATTCTAATTTGGGCAGTTTAAATACAGTTCACTCAATTTCTACTCAAAAAGTAACATTCTAAATATCCTTTCTTCAAAATTATGTTGTGTAATTGTATCACTGAAGAACATGGCTATTCTACAGGAGGAACCCCAAGCTCTGTGTTACACAGAGCGAGCTCAGCTCACCACTTCCTTCTGCACCGATCAGGTGAGCTGGCTGCTGCCCATGTCATCAAATAGGGCAGGATAGACACCTGTCTCTGTTTTTAGACCGTCTATCAGATCACTCATCACGGGGTCCATTTTTCAAACTTCTTGGATTTTGAACAATGTAGTAAAATGAAACAAGCCAATTTTCAGTTTGTTTTTAAGGGTGTTGTCATAGGCAGTGCTGGGAATCTGAATTCTAAGCTTAATACAACCTGTGTTTATACAGTATAAATGGTTTTTAACTAGACTCTATTAATCAGACCCAATTTTGACCCTGGGCTGCATTTGAATCACCTTTGGCCGTCAAAGAAGCAGAGAGGGACTCAGGACCAAGCAGCACAGCCTTGTTATGCCTGAAGGGGTGGCTGATCCAGGACACTTGAGATTGTCCTGTGTTTGTGGGGGAAATACTATGATATATTCCCCTGTTGAATTTGGGGATTCATTCAACAAATGCTTATTGACCACCTATTCTGTGAGAGGCACAGGGCTGAATCTGCTAAGGCCTCAGATTAGAGACTCTGTAAATAGAGACTGCAGAATGCTCACTAATTAAGTATGTTGATGGCCTGGACCTCGAACCCTGGAGGGGACATTCCATTCTGATAATGCTGGCAGCTTGGGAAGAGGCACACTGAAACGAGGCAGCAGAGGTCACCCAGAAAACAGGCATAACCACTCTGTTTATCATGTTCAATAAACTGTTGGGCAAAAGAATGTATCTAGGCTTGTGTGACAGCAGAGTCTACTTGTCCCTGTCACCATATCACCTGTTTTGCCAGCAATACATTTCCAATGACTGAGCACATTATGCACAGTAAGTGGGATTAGAGTGTTCCAGGAATCTTTAATGCCCTCTTATCTTGTCAATGGTTTCCTTAGGCAAATACTGATTCTGAAATGTGCTTCTTAAATATATAGTTGTTTCAGGGAATCAAATGAAATGGGTGCTGTAACTTTCCTTTCTGCCATTTGTTTAATCACTGTCTCACCCTCATGTACACCTCCACCCATGCTCAGGAAAAGAAACAATATCACACTGACACACAAAACAAAGAAAACAAAAGCCAAATTCCCCAAATGGTTTGGATCACCAGTCTTGCGAAGATGTGAGGCAGTTCTGAAATTTGGAATCCCTGCTAACTAAAAGGAAGGTTTCCAATTCTCCCTCCCTGCCATTGACTATTTGCATAGCCTTAAATAACATCATAAAATCAGATACTTGCAATAAAAATGCTATTTTAATTTTCAAAGTCTACAAATCCTAGGGAGGGCTCTTTGCTATTATAATTATAACATTGTAAAAACTGAATGAAGAATAATAGAAACAACCATAGCAGCAAGGAAAGCTAATACAGTGCTGTGTACTAGTTACTGTGCTGAGGGCCTTTATGCATTCACTCATTTAACAATTAACTGTGAAGGAGGTACTATAATTAGCCCCATTTTATAGACGAGTACATAGGGGTTTAGTAATTAAGATCACATAGCTAGTAAGTGACAGAGCTACATTATGGACCCAGGCAGCTTGGTTCTAGACCTGGCATTCTTAAATACTCAACTGTACCCTTTTTGTAAAAAAAGGTATACTTATTTATGCTTTACTAATCCAGTAACTGACAGTGGTAAATCATCTACATGCATACATTCTTTCTTTTGGGCTTAATCTATCTTGCTGAAAAATTTCCCTTTTGCACACATGCACATTAAACAATGAAAACTGTGCAAAAGAAGTAAGTCTCTCACCCACTTCTGTTACTTTCACGTTCCCTAGGCAGAGGCAAACCTTGTCCCCAATTGCTTGTGTATCCTCTTAGAGATATTCTGTGTCCATACAAGCTGATATTTCAAATCACGTTTTACAAATGTTTGAACTTTGTGAACAGACAGTTTTGAACATCAGCCTACACAAATCAGTGACACTAGATGTGTCCTGGAAAACCAAGATACCCAGACACTTAGACCATAGTATTCAGTTGGGGATATTGGCTAGGACACTGAAGCTTATGCTGTCCCCAGTTTATGGGAAGCACAGATAAGAAGGTTATAAATGTGACATGTTCAGTCTATGGGGATCCAGGTAGACATGGGCTTCCTGCAGCACCACAGAGGAGGGCCCGCAGAGCCTGCTTCCAGGACAGTCTGTCTCAGAAAAACACACGTTATTCCAGTGGAGACACCAAAATCTCGTTAATATGGGGACATGTGTACAAACCAAGGTAAAAATATGGGAGTTTAGAAATCAACTCTTTGTTTAAAAAAAGTTTATTCTCATTGGTCTAGCAAGTTCACTTCTCGAAATTTATCCAGACTTAGCTATATGGAGTTCATGATAGCTGTTTGGCAACAAACTTAAATGACCAATAACAGAGACTGGGTTAAATAAATTACATTAATTGAATAGAAAATCACCTAGCCATTAAGAAGATGACAAAGAATATTAAGTGATATCAAAAAGTGTTTACAATACATGGCTAAGTGAAAATAGCAACATATAGAAAAGATGTGTTTAGAAAAACTATTTATTATGTATGAAGAGTATAACAAGAGAGGCTATGGGTGAGAGCTAGAGGAATGATTTACAACAAATACTAACCTCTTCTAGGCAGTAATAGGCAATTTTAATGGAGGCTTTTCATTGCTTGTTTAAAAATCTAAAAAACTTAATGAATACTTCTTGCTTATATTAGAAATAAAACAAGAAGATTAATTTTTTTAAACGTAAGAATAGTTGATTAACTCTTGAAGCAACCAGTTGCAGATTATTCATTAACCAGTTATTTAAATAGCTTTATCTTGGGTACAATCTAATATTTTTTCAAACATCTGCTAGCTTGTCTCCCTCCTACCTTTGAAAATGAACCCTTTCATGATCCATTGATTAAAATAGCATGTGAGCCCTTCACAATGTCTTTGGATTATTATCTGGCAAGCAGTTACTGTTTTTAATTTAGACGTGTTGTAGAGCTTTGTTGAGCAGTTCCCAGACTCTTTCACCTTAGACTCAGTGGTAATAATAGTTAACCCTGATTGGACTTCTACCTGAACCAGGCACTGGGCGAAGTGCTTTACAAGAGGAATCTCACTGAATCCCTAAGGGACATGGACTACTACTGTCTTCTCTTCCTAGATATGGAAACTGAGGCTCCAAGAAGTTATGTAACATGCCCAAGGTTTCAGAGTTGATAAAGCAGAGGGGTCATTATTCCAGAACTTGGGTTCTTAATCAGTATAAAGAGCTATGCTGCCATCTATGACTGTCCCATCTCAGATTTGATGATAGAGGGTTTTAAAGCATCTTATAAGTTCCATTTTGTAGACAACGAAATCAAGCCAGGAAATGGGTGATCTTTGCTCAGGAAGGTGATCTTTGGAGAGGTGGATACAGTCCAGCATCCCCTGGGTTTTGCCTCTGCTTTTAGAGCTAACTCACTTTTCAGGAGAATGTAAACCACTGCAGTGTCCTACATGGCACTGTGATGAAGTAACAGGAAATGTAATTTTTGAGCCACTCAGTAATGGAGGAGATGGAAAGCTTCCCATCTCATCTTGCTTATTGCTCATTGTGTACACAGCACTTGCCCATCAAGATCATTTTCAAAAGATGATTACTTCAGTGTGCCCAGGTCTGCAGGACATAAGTATGTGGGCAGTGGTGGTAAGAGATATAATTATTCTTAATGGGAAGATATGGAGGTAATGAGTTGAATGATCATGTATATGTAATGTTTGAGTTCCAAAGCCCAATGAAGTAATTAAGCAAGCTGCAAAAATGCAGGGAAAAGAGGCTGAAATGAAAAGAACCAGAGTAATGTACCTTTTGAGTAACTGTCAACTTTCTTAGGGAGGAGTCGAACAAAGAAGAACTCTTTCTATTCCTTCTATCCATCTCACATCTATCTACCCATCCATCCATCCCTCCCTCCACCCATTCATCTATCTATCGTGCTTGCCCAGGCTATAGGCAAACACTCTATTTCTTAGAGAGCTAAATATTTGTTGGTGGCCAGTTTTTCCAAGTTATCAGTTCAAAGGATAGCATATAGCTTCATCTTTATCGGGTGCATTCACATATCGGAGTCCCTCTCACTCTTCAGAGCTGCAGCAGGAGAGAGCGGAAATTGTCCCCAGCAAGGACCAGAAGTTCTGAGCGCGCTGCGTCCCCTGCTTCCCGGGCGGCTGACCTCGGGACACATGCCAGTTCCCCCCTCAGGGGCGCGGCTGTGGCAGGATTCGAAGAACTGGAGAAAGGGGTTGTTACCACAGAACTGTGAACCCGGCGCCTGGTAAGTATGGTCGTTATTATTACAGTTCTGCCGGAGAGCAGGTTTCGTTTTCCTGCTTCATAAACGAAGAGAACGAGGCGGAATGATTTGTCCAAAGGCGGAGAACTGGTTGGAGGTAGAGAAACCAGATTTTCTGCTTGTTTTCAGTACAGAGTGGTGTGTTCTAAAAAAAAAAAACGAAGAAAAGAGAAAGAAAAAAGGTTTGATGGTTGATCTTGGCGATCCCGTGATAAGGCTGGAGTTGTTCAGAGCATCAATAATAGAAGATGCTCTAAAAATTACATTTTTTCAAATGGTGGATGAAGAGAAACTATTTGTAAACATGTAAACCAATCGAATCAAAGGGTACTTTGGAGGAATACTAAACCAATATATTAGTCTTCTGAAGGATTTATGGAGTAAAAGGCAGGGAGGAAATGGCTAGATTAGGGCTGTCCAGGGAGCAATTAGCAGCACTTACCAACTATTAAAGCACTTTGTCCTTAGAAAAACAACAACAGAAATCAGAGAGAAAGGTTTCTTTTTCCCTTTAAATATGCAGGCTCTCTGATGCTGAAAGCAAAAATGTTGCTGTGAAGTTTGCAAGAAGTTGTCCTATGATTAATTCATGTTGCAGCTTTTAAGATTCTGTATAGTACTACCTTGGGTTAAGATTTTGTCACTGTCACTAATAAGTTTCAGGCCAAATCGGGAATTTAAGGAGACCTAAAAGGCCGAAAAAATTGTTGAGGGATGTTAATGGTGGCCCAGTAGGTGGCAGCCTCCCCTCTGAATTAATGCCATGCTCTTCTCCAGCAAGAGGCTTGGGCACAGAGAGGGTGGGGAGAGATTCTGGCATCATTTATAAAAATTCTTACCCCCCACCTTTTTTTTGAGGTGCATTGGGGAAAATGGCAAGTAAGGAAGATATGGCATTACAATTTTTTCCCTCTCTTATTCATACTGTATACTTATTATAGACATTTAGGTAAAGTACTTCTTATTTGAGGGTGTATTGCTAGGTGTTGCACGTCTTTCCCATTGCTTGGATAGTCTTTCTGTTTTGCCTCCACTTTGTAAAAGATATTGGTTTTCTTTAGATAAAGAACAAATAAAGTACGTGCATAGGCATAAATGTAGTTTTGGGAGGAACAAAGTTTTGTTCGTGTTTTCTTTTCCATCTGAGTGAAAAAACAAACTGCGAGCTACCCTCTCTTCCCTACTAAGCATCTGTGAACACTGATGCAGGCTTTGTGATTGCAGCCACTCCTCACAGAGCCTGGTGTTCTGACATTTCATTATGATGCCCTCAGTCACCCCGCAGAACACCTGCTTCATCTCCTGTTGTTAGAGGGTAAGGGTGGCCTGGTCGGTCTGCTGCATCTGAAGTTGTAGGGTCAGCCACTCCGACTAATCCACATGCCTCTGTATTTTTTGGATAAGGAAAAGGAAGGAAGCTGCTGAGTACATGGGGGAAGGAGAAGAACTAGCTTCATGGATTCTTTATTTTGTACCAAGCACTGTACTAGTTACATATATTATCTCATGTAATTCTTACCAAAAAAGTGAAGGGGCTTGGAGTGATAGGAATGGGATATATTGTGTATCCATTTTAGGGATGAGAAAACAAAGGCTCAAAGAGGTTTAAAAACTTGCCAAAGGTTGCTCAGTGTATGAAACAAAAGATTTACAGTAGGGATGTTCAAATTTATTTCTAATTCAACCATCCCATTTAAAATAGGTATTGGGCTATGTAGAACAAGGGCTTTGTCACCAAAACATACCTATTGCAAACTCTATTACTTAGTATGACTCATGCATTTAATCTTTTTCCATCTAAAATCCTTTAAAAACCAGAAATATGTAGTTCTGACTCTCAACCTGAACTTGAACCACATTTGCCCTAGAATTCAGACTGGTGTGGACATTATCTAGAGGACCTGGTGGGCTAAACTTTAAGGATTCATTTGCATGAGGAGGAGGTGTTCAAATTTAGACAAAGACTTGCTTAGAGATTGGAAGAGAAAGGTCAGTAGGAAGTCTGTGTTTTAGGCTTCCTCTAATCCAGTCTGAGTGGTAGAAATCAAGGACTGACAATAAAATCTGAAAGAGTTGTTTGAAAACTCAGTAAGACTTGGGGAACACAATATATTGTGGGCTTAATATAAATGAGGTCAGAAAGGTATGGAGGAAAAATGTTTTCAGCACCATTCAAATGTATAGTGTCAGCCATATCAGTTTTGACTTTGACTTTTTGCAGTATCATTATCAAATGAGAATGAGAATTCTTATCTTGGTGCATGGGCTGCAGTTAGAGAAGTATTTTGTAATTGTTGTGGTGCATCAGGGAAACCCCATTTATCCAAAGAAGAAATAATGGCTGAATGCTTTGTATTGGGTTTGGGATTTTTGAGGCAGAGGGCTCGAGCATAGCCTCAAATTATACCATGAGGGCAGCCCTTACTTGATTCACTAAAAAGGCAACTCTGGTTCTCACCCATTTAATGGGTCTCATGAGGTGTGATTCATGAGGAGGTAATGAGCAGACAAGAAATCTTGCTTAATTAGGTCTTCATTTGATATTAACATGATATTAACATGATCTGTATTCCCTTTTATTCCCCCTTCCTGCCATCTAACCCATTTCTGAAGGGCAGAGTAATTAGTAGAAGAAAAGGGACAGGCCTCAGCCAGGCTTGGTGAATATGGGTAATGCTTTTCTGAAAATAACTTCCAGAGGGAGGAGGACATGATTGCTGCTGTCTTCAAATATTTGAAGACGTATTTTGTGAAAATGGTATTATACTTAGTTTGTACTTTTCAAGAGTTAGAATTTGGTCCAGTATGTAAAGTCCCAGGAAGAAAGACTTCAGCTCAGTGTAAGGGAGGACTTGGAGACTGGCAAAGCCATGCAGAGGTGCAGTGGGCTATCCTGAGAGAGAGTGAATTCTGTGCCACTGGAGATGTTCAAACAGAAATCAGAAGCCACCTGGTGGGATTATCCTAGAAAGAGGGATTAGGAAGGGTCAGAATAGGTGACCTTTAATATTCTTTCTAATCCTGAAATCCTGGGATTCTATGAACATAAAACTAGACTGCTTGAATTATACTAAGTTAAGTGAAAGTAATTTTTTATTTAAGTAAAAGACCTTTTCTTGTGACGTAGGTGGATCCAATCTCCCAAACAAAACAAGAAAGCTTAGGGTTCCTTGACCCTTGAATTTGACATAGGAGGGCCCCAACCTCCCCATTTCATGGATTGAAAATTGTATAAGTGATAAGATAAATCTGCTACTTCTCAGTGCTGTTGTGATGTTGCCTCTGAGAGTAAGTGCATTGCCTCTATTTTATTTCTGCATCATCCTAGTTGTGAAGGTTAGTTGCTTTACTGATAATCCATTTCACAACAAATATTTTGTGACTTTTTGTAACATTTACTTAAGATTTGGAAGTTATAAGGTGGGAATTCCATTGTATAACTCACAGCCTCCCTTCATTTCCTGCTTATATTACCCTCTATCTTTCTTTCCCTTTCTTAGAACAAAACCAGATTTTTGTGCAAATTAGTTCTGTGAACACCTAGGCTTTTCAAGATCTGGTCTTCTAATCTGAATTAGTCAGGATAAATGAGATAAAGCTTCTGTAACAAATTAACTGTAAAATCTTAAAGGCTACCACAACAGGAGTTTACTTCCTTCTCTTTGTAGATGTCTAATATGGGCTATCAAGGAGCTCTAGTCCATAGAGCCACTCAGGGACTCAGGCTGACAGGGGCACCACCATTTGAACACATTTAGCATTCCTGTATGTTTCTACTGCAAAGCAACACAGGGTGTCACTCTAATAGCCCACTGGTCAGAAGATACTCCACATAGCTCCACTAAATTTTTAACGGGCTAGGGAATACAGGGAAACCATAAAATAGTTGGTGAGCATTACTATTTCTGCCTCCTACCCCAAATAAGAATTTACCCAGAAAAGATAGCTCCCTTCTCAAAAGGAATTCTCATATCTCTTACTAAAAGAATGATATTTTCTCCTTTGACTTACACTCCTTTTCTCAACTTAGTATGCTACAATTCAGCAATAACCTCTGAGATAAATCCTTAAATTAGGAAGGTAAGAACTCTGCTTGGCAGAGGTTGTATTTATGTTTGTTGCAAACTTAATGGGCACTAATTGAAAAGTTAAGATGAAGCCATAACTATCTAAATGCATTACATCAGACTAGCTTGGAGTCACAAATTATTCTGATTTAGAAAGAAAGCAATTATGGGGATGTAGTCTTTATTCTTTTTTTTTTCCTCTCTTTTTTTTACTTTTGGTGTCATTAATATACAATCACATGAGCAACATTATGGTTACTAGATTCCCTCCATTATCAAGTCCCTCCCCATACCCCATTACAGTCACTGTCCATCAGCATAGTAAGATGCTGTAGAGTCGCTACTTGTCTTCTCTGTGCTATATTGTGGCCTTTATTCTTTTATTTTTACTATGCCTATATCTTTTTTTTTCTTAGCACTTTACATGTGTTATGTTTTATTTTATTTTATTTTATTTTGTTATCATTAATCTACAATTACATGAAGAGCATTACGTTTACTAGGCTCTCCCCTACCCCAAGTCCCCCCGACAAACCCCATTACAGTCACTGTCCATCAGCATAGTATGATGTTGTAGAATCACTACTTGTCTTCTCTGTGTTGCACAACCCTCCCCTTTCCCCCATCCCCCATATTATACATGCTAATCGTAATGCCCCCTTTCTTCTTCCCCGCCCTTATCCATCCCTACCCTCCCATTCTCCCCAGTCTCTTTCCCCTTGGTAACTGTTAGTCCATTCTTGGGTTCCATGATTCCGCTGCTGTTTTGTTCCTTCAGTTTTTCCTTTGTTCTTATACTCCACAGATGAGTGAAATCATTTGGTATTTCTCTTTCTCCGCTTGGCTTATTTCACTGAGCATAATACCCTCTAGCTCCATCAATGTTGTTGCAAATGGTAGGATTTGTTTTCTTCT